ACTGACAGATATTTTGCCTGTCAGTGCGGCTAAGGGGCTCTGCTGCCTGAGTCTGCACCTGTGGATGATCAAAGGTTGGTCTCAGGACCACATGAGTAAACAAGCTATTTGGGTAAACTCCCCCACATTCCTATGTATCCACGCCCTAAGCTTTTGAGAGAATTCAGCTGCCTTCAGCCAAACCCTTTACTGAAGTTATGCAAACCTCTCAGCCTTCCAAGGTTTGTGTCTATTTTCTATAACTTTATCTTAAATTTTCTCCCACCACCCTGACCGATCCCCTACACCTTGGGGTCACAGAGAAGTGAGGAAGCGGGTAGGAGAGAGAAAGAGAAACAAAACTAGAAGCCAGAGGTGCAGGATGCCTCCTATTGTGTTCAAGCAGTAGAGCAGCAGCCCCAGTCCTGGCTCCTTGCCAAAACAGCCGCCCCTGAGAGGAAGAGGGCAGAGGTGTCTGTGTGGCCCTGCAAGGTCTCCAGCTCACAGCCCCATCCCCTGCAGGCCTCATCTACATCCTGCTCAAGCACATGGTGGACCGGCACAACCTCTACTTCGTCTACCTCCCAGCCAAGCTGGAGAAGGGGATACACTTTGCTGCTGTGAACCAGGCCTTGGCAGCCCCCATCCTATGCCTCTTCTGGCTCTACTTCTTTTCCTTCCTGCGCCTGGGTGAGTGGCCCTTCCAACCTGGGGCCAGCCCTTGGCCTCCCATCCCTGCATCCCCGCCAGCCAGTCAGATCCCCCATTGCTTTCACAGCATCAGCTTGGCATCCAGTCAGAATGTGGTGCCCAGAGTGAGGGCTGGTTAGGTGTCCAATCAGAATGTGATACCCAGAATGAGAGTTGGTTACATGTCCAATCAGAATGTGTGCCCAGAGTGAGGACTGGTTAGGTGTCCAATCAAAACAGGATACCCAGAGTGAGGGCTGGTTGGGTGTGGTGGTGACAGCTGAGCTCCTAAGCTAGCCCGAGTGCAGGTGTAACCCTTGTGAAGGCCTGGTCAATTGTCCCATACGTCCCTGGAGAGAAGACAGTGCCATTATCAGCTGTGCAGGGACTGAACCAGAGGAAATGGGGAAGCTGATCCAGATTGCCCTTTGAGGGTGGTGGTTGGACCCGGCTCCTTGTATCTCCTGGCATGGAAGAGGTGGGGACATGGAGAAGAGAAAACTGACACTCCTGGGGGAAAGTTATGTCTGCCCTGGTCAGACTGGGGGTGTGGGACAGTCCATCCTACCTAGCCCAGGGCACTGGAGACTGGAGGGAACGGACCCAGCAAGGAGGCTGGTGAATTGCCATTGACTTGGCATCCCAGTGCCTGAAATGCAACCAGGGATGATGCCAGCCATTCAGTGGGTCCCTCTGTGTGCTCCTGGTTGTGAAGACACCATCCTTGCTGCTGGAGTTGAGGGCTAGGGGTGGGGGTTAGGCCTTACCTTTGTTTTCTGCCTGAGGGATAAGTCACGGGCAGTTTCCACACCAGGTGTGGCCCCTTCCTCAGCAGGGTGAGGGTAGGTGGTGGCCCCTCCCTGCCCACCCCAAGGCTAGCCACCCTCTGTCCCCAGGTATGAAGGCCCCTGCCACTCTGTTCACCTTCCTGGTGCTGCTGCTCACCATCCTGGTCTGCCTGGCTCACACCTGCTTTGGATGCTTCAAGCACCTCAGCCCTCTGAACTACAAAGTAAAGGTCCCCGACCCCACTGCCCCGTCAAGCCCTGGGAGGAACAGATGGTGGGACGGGCTCGCTCTCAACGCCTCCCACCCTTGTCCGTATCAACACAGCAGCAGCCTTCTCCAGACTCTGCTTCTCCATGGGAAAGGCGTGGGTGGTTGGGTGCCACGTGTAGCTTCCCTTGCTCCCCTCATCACTGCACTCCCCCACCCCATCCTCTCTCAGGCTGCCAGGGAGCTTGGTGCCAGCTGGTACTATTATTCCGGGTGTTAATAGTCTCTGTGTTTGGAGGGTGTTCGTTCACAGAGATCAGTTTTGTTTATCATTGCAAGTTTTTGCTGTTATCTGCAGACAGAAGAGCCTGCAAGTGACAAAGGAAGTGAGGCAGAGGCCCACATGCCTCCACCGTTCACAGTAAGCTGTCTGTGCCCCTCAGCCTCCGAGCTTGTCGCCCTTTTTTGCTTTGGTTGTAACAGTCCCAACCAGATGGGCCCCAGCAAATGTGCTTTGATGATCTCTTGCTAAGATCACATGGCAGTCAGGTTTGGGAATTAATGGCAGAGAAGGAATCCCGGTCCCCCTGGGTGTTTTAACCTGCATATTTGAAACTGTTGAGGAGATAATGAGTCTTGTCTCGGTTCATGGCCATCCCCCTTGGTTTCAGTTCCCTGCTCTGACACCTAGGAGGTGTCCTTCTCTGCATATTTAATAGCTGGTGAGTTTGGGGCTTTAGTGAAGGCACATGGTAAGGTGCTACGGTTTGACAGTTTGTCATCAGCAGTGCACCTGCCTCTGCGAGGTCCTCCACTAGGTTCCAAGAGGGTGTCAGACAGACTTCCCTTTGAATTCAAGAAATGAACATTGCACCTGCTTCAGAGGAAGACGCCACGGTCTTCCTCTGAAGGCTCCTTGTCTTCCTGGTTCTCCCTGCCTCCAGGGTCCTGCTCCTAGGGTGGGGCTGGTAAGGGAAAACAGAGCCCCAGGGTTCCAGAGCTGTGGCCACTGGCCGTCCTGACAGCCAGGCCAGGACAGAGCCGACCTCATCTGCAGAGTTCTTTCTGGTGACTGCCTCCCAGGTGTCAGGCTCTCTTATCGGTGTCTGTCCTTGGACAAGTTCCAAAAGAGGGAGGGCCTCAGAAGGACTCATTACCCAGAGACACACCTGTGGCTTTGCTGGCCAGGCAGGGAACACGCAGGACAGGTGGATGATGTCAAGCCCTCACTCACAGTCAGGGTCTCGGGAGGAGTGGGGCAGGGCTCTGCGCCCGGGGTCAGTGGCTGGAGCCTGGGATTGGGAGGAAATGAGACTCACACAGATATGTTGAGCATCCCAGGGGTCCCAGGGCAGCATTCTAAGCCCCCCTACATAGGTAGACTTGTTTCTTCTACAAAGTGAGAAATCCTCCTAGGATCCAGGGCTAGGAAGTTTAGTTTCCTCGGAGAAACTGCTCTCCTGTACTTCCTTCTGTCATCATGAGAACTGTATAACTGGGCTTTCTCTTTTGCCCTGGCTGCTACGAAGTTCCACAGGTGGCATATTTTAGGTCCTAATATCCTAAATTGATGTTGCTATTTCTTCATATGTCCTTTATGGCCACTGTCTGTGTCCTTCTGTTGGGAGGAGAAGGGCAGGAGGGTAGGGATGCAGTGTGGAATCTCATGCCTGCCCCAAGCCAAGCACGAATCCATTTGCTGACAGCCCTATGTGCCTCGGATTCTGAACGGCTTGGCCTCGGAGAGGACAGCACTGTCTCCGCAGCAGCAGCAGACCTATGGTGCCATCCACAACATCAGCGGGACTATCCCTGGACAGTGCTTGGCACAGAGCTCCATGGGCAGTGTGGCTGCTGCCCCACAGGAGGCCTGAGGCCGGGTGAGCTACTGGCTGGGTCAGGCTCAGGGGAGCCTGTGGGGTGAGAAAGGTGAAGCAGGGTGAGAAGACAGGCGAAGCAGCCTGACTCCCAAGTTCATGACTTCTTCCCATCTGTTTTAGGTCTCACTGCTCTGAAATGACACAACCAGAATGGCCTGGGGCTCAGGCCCTTGGCTGAGCGGGAATGTGTTGGGACTGCCCAGCTGAGCCATCAGATGCCCATCTTTTCTGGTCCCAGCAGTGGTGAGGGGAGCACATGCAGGCCTCGCCCCTACCTTGCTCACCCAGTTCCCCCTCTGGCACAAGCTTGCGGCTCTGCAGCTGGGGTGACATCCCCAGTGGTTTGTCGCCAAGACCATGTGGTGGACTTTTCGCCCCCCAAACTGATGAGTCTGGGAGAATATATGGAGAGAGAGATGTAACAAGGGGAAGGCCTCCTCCCTTCTGATCACACACACAACCGATAACCAAAGAGATGCTGCAGTCCAGGTCTGAGATGGGCTGGCGTCCAGCTCCCTGCTCCATGGCCAGTCCCTCCCCAACCCGGCAGCCCCTCCAGGCTACACCCAGGAGTGAGCTATGGGGAGCAGGCTGGGAGGCGGCCAGTGCTCCAGCCAGCTGTGCACACACCTCTGTATCCCACTACAGTTCTGTGTTTTTGTATCATGTTGTCAGGGACACCCCATAACAGGCAGGGACAAGGACCACTCATAATGTGCCCGCTGGCCCACAGTTAAGATCCAGCCTGTCCCACCTCTTCAGGGCTGAGTGCATGAGTCTGCACCTCCAGGCAGGCTCTGTGCAGTACTCACCCTCTGTCTGCTCCCTCCAAGGTGTGGGGGTGGGCAGTGCTCAGGGCCTCCTCGGAACCAAAGGACAGCGTGGTTGGCACAGAGGGGGTGCCTGGGCTGGGTGCAGGGCCATCCCATTGCCCTAGAGCTGTGGCTCTGGCAGGAAGGAGGGGCTGTCCCTCTTCTCCCTCCTGGAGATTCCAGGGGATGGGATGCAACTTAAGACTTCTGCCTGAGAAGCCTCCTCCCTGCTACCTCCAGGGGGCACCAAGGCACAAGCCTGTGCCGTGGGGGTGGGAGGGGGTGCGGAAGAGCAGGTCCAGGCTCCTTCCAGCCCAATTGGGCCAGGGCCTTGGCACCTCTGCAGGCCCTGCCTGTGCCTGTCTGCTGACCTGGTGGGCCTGGGCTTTCTGACTCAGGGACCCTGTTGACGCTGACTTGCGCCTGCAGTGGCGGCTAATGCCGCCTCTCCTCCAAGCTGCCCCTGTGCTGGGAGGGGTGGGGGCGGTGCCATTGGTCTGGTGCAGCACAGCCCTGGCCAGTGGCCTCATCCCCAACGGGCCTCCTGTGCCTCTGCCAGCAAGGAGGGGCCTGCCAGCTCTGCTTGGACAGGGGGCCCCATGTGGGGTCAGGGCATGCTTATGTCACTGGGTTCCAGCCGCTGTTAGAAGTAAAGTCATTTATCATCAAGGCCATATTGCTTATCGCACAGAGTTGGGGATTGGGGAGTGAGCTTGGAGGGGTGAGGGGGTAAGTGTGGGCTCCCAGCATGGGCAGGGGACGGAGGCAAACTCATTCCTCAGAAAAGGGGTATCTTCCCAAAGAAAAGCCTGGAGGGCACTTGTGGAGGGAGGCAGGGGGCGGTGTGGGGTGGTCACTGCTGCTCCAGCACTGACAGGAACTTGCGGATGTCCCGGGCGAGCAGCTCTGGTTCCTCAAAGGCTGCAAAGTGGCCCCCACGAGCCATGTAGGAATAGGAGATGAGCTTCGGGTACTTGAACCTCACCCACTTTTCAGGCGTGTGTATTAGCTCAGAAGGGAAGGCAGAGAAGCCAGTGGGCACGTAGACCTTCATCCTGAAAGCGAAAGAGCCGATGGGGTGCGGGAGGCTGTGGCCCTGCGCCTCTCCATCCTGCACAGCAGGGGGTTCAAGAGCCTGGGGGATGAGATCAGCTGGCCCCCCCACAAGGAGCCATAAAGACAAGGACAAATCCAGGTCTCAACCGCTCCCCTCACTATCCTCTTTTTGTGGGAGGGCCACCCAGGCAGAGGCATGGGACAGCCTCTAAATCCCCACCTTTGAGGGTCTCCATGTGAGACTTGGAAATCCCAGAACCATCAGTGCCACTCAGACCAGCATCCTGACTCGGGAGCAGTACTGAGGGCTGCCCGGGAGCCAGGCACGTGGTCCCTCCATGAGGGCTTTCTCCAAACCCCTTGACCTTTAGTGTTCCCATCCAAGGGCCCTGGGGCACCCCTGCAGGCAAGGCTATACTTATCCCACCACCGAGGGCCCTTACTGGAGCTCCAGACTGGCCATCCCCCTGCCTCCAGCCTCAGAGGCCCCTGTTCTCAGTCAGCCAGGCTCACCGCTCATGCTTCTGGGTCATCCAGCCCTGTCCCAGGTTCTCCTTGTAGAAGCGCTGGGAGGAGACAATGGTTGCTGTTGTCCAGTAGAGCATGACGTTGGTCAGCAGGTCATCCAGGGAGAACTTCCTGGGAACACAGAACACAAAGCCCCACTCTTAGTGCCAGATGCAGTTGTGTGACAAAGGGCAGCTGGAAAGTCCTACAAATGCCAGGCCCTGACCATGCGGCTTCCCTCCTCAGACCTCATGCAAGGTGTGTGGTATCCTCATGTCACAGGCAGGCTTTGCCCAGGGCACCAGACTGGAGTGCATGGATTTAATCAAAGTGTCTCTTATCACCCCAAGGTCCTCCCCCACACCTACCTTGACTCTACACATCCATCCCCTCTCTCCTGCCACTGACATCTCCTCCCTCCCCTCCACCCCTGCACCATGAAACTGCTCAGGACATCAGCTACTATGGTGACCACGTACCAGGCAGCATGTTCTAAGCTCCTTACCTTCATTTAATTCATGTTTTCCTCTCAATAGCCTACAGGACATAGGTACTATTATCTCCATTTTACTTACTAAGTGGAGAATTCAAACCTGGGCAACTTGGGTCTAGGATGCACACTCCACAGCCCCCACCCCACCTTCCACTGTCCCCAGAGCAGGCGCTCCCAACCCCACCTTCCTGTCTCAAACCCTGGATCTCTAGCAACAGCAGCACGGAGCAGGGGCAGAGATAAAGGGAACAGCCTTTTCCATGTGATTTTGGTGGCAAAATGAAAACATCAATGAAAACTAGTTCCAGTACACACGCCAACTCTGTGAGCTGGATTTCTGCAAGTCGGCCAAGTGCTTCCATCTCCCTTTCGGCTCTGCCTGCAGCTTGAAAACTACCACCACCACCATTTCCACTCTTGTGTGTTCCGGTTCTTTCTGGAACACAGATCTGATCCTGTCTGCCTCCTGCTCAGGGCTTTGGTGCTCCCTGTAACCTGGGGCCAGAGCTGCAGGAGTGGCCTAGTGGGACAGTCTGGTGGGGCCTCGCATCTGGTTCCAGGTATCCGTGTACAAGGAACAGGCCAGACCCCTTGCCAATGTGGTCCTGCAGGAGCTCCATCGACCCCTGGGTCCTGCTGAATGTAGGGCAGGGGAAGCAGATCCCAGAGGAAGGCCCTGCTGAGGCTCTTGGAGGAGGCGAGGACCTGCCTGCAAGAATGAGTTTGCTTGCAATCTGGCCCCAGTGTACCTGCTTCAGCCTCTGGACAAGCCACCCTTTCCAAGCACCCTTTCCTTGCATTTTTTATGGCTTTTCTCTTTGCCTAAATTTCTCTCCTCCATCCAGCAAACTCCTATTCATCCTCCAAGGCCCAAATCAGATACATTCTCCTGGTCATTTCCCCTCTCTGCTGCTTAGACAAAGAGAATCCTCCTTACACTGAACTCTCACAGTCCTTTGTGCATTCATTCAACATCTAGGTACTGGGCTCCCACTGTTCACCCGGCACTGTTCTAGGTGATGGGGCTAGAGCATGGCCAAGACAGAGTCCCTACCCCTAAGGCGGGATTCAGTCTCATTTTACTCTCTTCCTCATCCCCAGCACTATCTGGTCCTCTGTGTGTCACTGAAGGAATAAAGGGATGGGCCCTGGAAAGGGTGGGTCAGAGCTGACCTTGGTGAAGCCTGAGTCAGGCCACAGAGCTGGGAGTCAGGCATGTAGAGGATACAGCCTTGAAGGCTCTGAGAGATGTAACAGCCTCCTGTCTTTCTGCGACCACCCTCCTGGAACACGCAGTCATGTGACCCTGATGCCAGGTTCTCCAGGGAAGCAGAAGGAAGAGCCCAGATGCTCTCGGCAATAACGTGGTGCTTGCTGCCCTCTGGGCTCCCTAATCCCAGAGGGGCCTGTTCAGCAAAAGGAGCACAAGCAGGTGAGCCTGCATCCTAGTCCTGACCATGCACTGTGAGGCTGGGAGCAACTCACCAGGCCGCCTCACCCGAAAAATGCAGCTATGTTGGTCGTGGGGTGAGGATTTGTAAGAAAGTCAACAATAGAATTTGGTGAGCGCCCCATGCAGAGCAACCAGACAAGGGGATGAAGAGGGTGAGGAGGTTGGCTGCTGGGACCAGGGTCACAACTGCCGGGGCAAACCAGGGTCTCACCTTTCCAGGCCTCCATCCTCCAGGTATCGGAATTCCGTATTGGTCCAGGTGGAAAACTTCTCTAGAATATAGGCAGCCAGACCCACAGGAGAGTCATTCAGAGCAGAGCCTGGCGTGGAGGGGAGCAAGGGAGAGACTCAGGCCTGGGGACCAGGGAGCTGGAGCTTCATGTGTGACATGTGGCACTGGCCACAGAGGGCAGGGCTGTGGGCAGGAAGCCACGTTCGAGCACAGGTCTGCCCTAACTCCTGGGTGCTCACACACTTCACTTCCTTAACTCTCTGCCTCGGCATCCTCATCTGATAAACAGTGACGATACCTTCCCACTGTCTCCCGGGGCCTCGCACACTGCCTGCTTAGCTTCCTTCAAATGGAAGGGCCCATGCCTCTGCATTTGGTGGGGTCCCAGTGAGAAGTGCTGTTTTTAAAAAGGTGGGGTTTTTTAGTCTATGTGTTGTGATTCATGAAAAATGAGAAGCCACCTAAAAAAGTCTAAAATAAGGGATCAGTTACAAATAAATATTGATATACTCATAAGCCAAAATACTGTACAGTCATTAAAAATGGCTGGGACAGGCTGGGGGACGTTGGCTCATGCCTGTAATCCCAGCACTTTGGGAGGCCAAGGAGGGTGGATCACTTGAGGTAAGGAGTTCAAGACTATCCTGGCTAACATGGTGAAATTCCGTCTCTACTAAAAATACAAAAACATTAGCCAGGCATGGTGGCGATGCCTGTGATCCCAGTTACTTGGGAGGCTGAGGCAGGAGAATTGCTTGAACCCAGGAGGCGGAGGTTGCAGTGAGCTGAGATCATGCCACTGCACTCCAGTCTGGGCGACAGAGCAAGACTCCATCTCAAAAAAAAAGAAAAAAAAAGTAGGCTGGGACAAGCTGGGTGTGGTGGCTCACACCTGTAATCCCAGCACTTAGGGAGGCCAAGGTGGGTGGATCACCTGAGGTCAGGAGTTCGAGACCAGCCTGGCCAACGTGGTAAAACCCCATCTCTACTAAAAATACAAAAAATTAGCCAGGCATGATGGTGGGTGCCTGTAATCCCAGCTACTTGGGAGGCTGAGGCAGGAGAATTGCTTGAACCTGGGAGGCAGAGGTTGCAGTGAGCCGAGATTGTGCCATTGCACTCTAGCCTGGGCAACAGAGCAAGACTTGGTCTTAAAAAAAAAAAAAAAAAAAAAAAAAAAATGGCTGTGACAACAGCATAGATGAATCTCACAAACATAATATTGAGCAAAAGAAGCCAGACTCAAGGGTACATACTCTGTGATTCTATTCACAGAAGGAGTTAAACAGGCACAACCAAAACCATCTCAGTCAGAAGTCAGAGCATGGTGCCTGGGAGAGAACCCTGAGGGGCATCTGGAGTGTTGGGGCCGTGTTGGTGATATGGATATACTTGACTTGTAAAAATTAATCACCAAAATGTTCACAAGTTCTTTTGAAGGAGAGGGGATGTGGGGAGGGAGGAGAGGTTATACGAGATTGCCTTTAATGTTTTGTACTTTTTGCATTTTTAATCTTTTTGACAATGAACATGTATTTTATAATCAGAGAAAAATACTGATTTTATAAAGTGCCATTATGATTATGAGCTGCCTCATGTGTGTGGGCATGGGACTGCCACGAAAACTATAAAGAACCTAAAAATGGGCAAGATAATTCCTGGGTGTCTTCTGAACAAGATCTAGGGAGTTACCTAGCAGACCTTCCGGACTTACGTGATTCTATAGAATTCCCATCTTTCCTTGTCATTGAGCTGTTTTACAGTTCTGTGAATTGTAGAGAACTGAGGGTAATGCGAATGACTCGTTCATAGAGGCAAATGAATTTTGTCCCATGGCGATTTAATTGATATTACTCTGTGGATGTTGACAAGTTTTGTGTCTGTCAGCAAATTAATTTCAGTGTTATTTGTCTTTGAATTGTTTCTTTTTAAAATTTTACTGGTTCCTTTATAAATATATCTTTTTGAAAAAGTTTTGTCCTTTAACAGGACCCTGGTGGCAGATGTGGTTGCTGGGCCCTCCCTCACTGCCTGGGAACCTCTTCCCCAAGGCCCCAGGGCACCCTCTCCCCTCTCCCCTGCAGCCCAGAGCTGCCCACCCCCAGGATTCCTCCTACCCCAACCCCTCCATCCCTCTGCTTCTCAGTGTAGGATATAGACTCAGGGGTGGGAGATCAGGGGTGAAAGCCACTATGAATGCTGAGTCGGCTAAACAGAGTTGCTAAATTGGCCTGGGAATCTGCTGAGAGTCCATCCTCTTGATTTTATGGGAAAATGCAGTTTAAAGACCTAAAGGGCTGGGAGGTCCTTATAAGAGGCTTTCTCCTGTGGGCAGCATTGGGGTGGGGTGGTGAGGTTCCCCCGTGGGGTCTCGCCACTCCAGTGGAGCCAGCAGTGGGCGAGGCCCCCTGAGCATGCTCACCCACGGTGTCGGGCTTGGTGCACTGGATGTGCATGTAGCCGCTCTCCCTCATCAGGCTGTAGAAGACCTTCTCCTTGACAGGGTACAGCAGCTCCACATCTCTCTCAGTGTAGCCAAGAAACCTCCCGAAACGCCGTCCCAGGAGAAGGGTCAGGGTAGAGAAGTTGCTTAAAACCAAAGCCATGTTCAAGTGCAGGCCTTTCACGTGGCTGAGGGCAGAGAGAGGGGCCCAGGTGAGGCTGGGGTGGTGTCAAGGAGAGCGGGAGAGGAGAGATGGCGGAGGAGGAACAGGCCTCAGGGTTGAGGAGTGAGCACAGGGCCAGCCTCTTTCAGCACCAGCCCCACTGGGGAGGCCATGGGAGTTGGAGGAGGGAGATTGGGGGAAAAATAGTTTCTGGGGAGTTCTGCTCAGGGCTGTCCCAGAGCTTGGTCCAGCAGAGGTCTAAAGCCTGACATTCCCCTCGTATCACAGGCCTTCTCTGCCTGGGAACCTGGCCCGGAGCCGCAACCCTGGGTTACAGACAGGAAAATCCAAGTCAACATGCCTCAGGCACTGCTGAGTGACAGTCACACTCCCTCCTCTCCCCTTGGGGGACCTTGGCCCTCCCTGCACAGAGGTCCATCTCTTAAGAGGACACACACACACAAACACACACACACCACCCCGACAGTGACCTCACCTGGGCACCAGCTGGGCCATATTGGTGCAGATCAGGGCCCCCCAGTCCCCTCCTTGAATGTAGAATTCCTGGAAGCCCAGCCGCAGCATCAGCTTGTAGAAGATCCTGGCGGTGGCCACCGAGTTGAACCCTGGCGGTGATGGGGAAAGGCATGGAGTCACAGGCAGATTGCTCCATGGGCCCTCTGGGGGTTCTGTGAAATTTCTCAGGCCTGCCTCCTCCCAGGTGGAGGTGAGAAAAGCTCACAGAGGCAAGAAGGAATCCTGGAGCCCAAACGTAGGGGTGGCATCTCCAGCCCTGGAGGGTAGTGTGTCTGGGGCCAGCCTCTCTGGTCCCTCTTTTCCCAGCTTCCTAGGGCCAACTCCCTGCTCACCCTCCCGGAAGGAGAGCCTGGTGGGAACATCTGGCCCACCCTTGGCAAGGACGGGGCAGTTATGGAGGCTCTAGCAGCCCCATACCCTTCTTGGAGGATGCCTCTGAAAAGCCATAGCCAGGGATGGAAGGGCAGATGACTTCAAAAACGTGCTCATCACTCAGGCCATGGTTCTTGGGGTCAGTCAGGAGTGGGATGATCTTATAAAACTCGTAGAAAGAGCCAGGCCAGCCATGCACCATCAGCAAGGGCTTCGGGGTACGGCCTGCGGGCAGCTGGGGGGGCTTCACATGGATGAAGTGGATGTCCAGCCCTGGGGGAGAGAGCACAGTCAGGGTGGAGGGAGAGAAGGCCCTGTGTGGTCAGGCTCTGGCACCCCCCAGAACCTGGATATTGAGTACTGCCAGCCTTAGTGCCCCCGCCCCCGCCACCCCTCATGGTATTGATGACAGTAATGGCTGACACTGGTTTCATATTCACACTGTGCTCCAGGTGCACAGACGTCCTCACTCAGCCTTTACAACCTCCCTGCAAGGGAGCTACGATTATTGCCTCCCGGTTTCCTTAGAGGTGCCCCCTGATGGCAGGGCCAGGTCTGTACAGGCACTGCTGGGTTTCCAGGGCTCAGGACAGCTCCTGGCTCACAGCAGGCCTCCATAAATACTTGGTCTATAATTTAAAATCTGGAGGGTAGGGAGAAAGTCCCACATATCCAGCAATACAGGATTAATCAAGTATAGTTTGACAGTATACTGGAGTCCAATTCAGTCATCTAAATGGACAGGGTAGATGTATATTTATTTAACATAGAAAACAGATCAGTAGATATTACTGGGAGGTAAAAGCAAATGATCAAGTCATATCCATTGTGTGACCCAGTTTTTGTAAAGTCATCTATGCGTATACTGTGGTTATACCATATATTGGTGAGTTTTTAAAATTTGGGAATGTAAAAAGCAGTTCTCTCCGAGCAGTAGATTCCAGTGCTTTTAATTTCTCTTTGAGTTTTATGTACTTTCCATTTTTTCTACAATGAACAGGTATTAAATGAATAACTTTTTTCATACACGGTGACAAAATGTTACCTTTTTCTAATTACCAAATGATATTTTCTTTAAAGTGGAAGATTTTTGGGCCTGGTGTGATGGCTCACGCCTGTAATCCCAGCACTTTGGGAGGCTAAGATGGGCAGATCACCTAAGGTCAGGAGTTCGACACCAGCCTGGCCAACATGGTGAAACCCCGTCTCTACTAAAAATACAAAAAAAATTACCCGAGTGTGGTGGCAGGCGCCTGCAATTCCAGCTGCTCGGGAGGCTGAGGCAAGAGAATCACTTGAACCTGGGAAGCAGAGGTTGCACTGAGCCAAGATCACACCACGACACTCTAGCCTGGGCAACAGAGCAAGACTCCATCTCAAACAATTAAAATAAAGTGGAAGTTTTTTTTTTTTTTTTTAAGTTCAATGCTGGAAACATCATCATAGCCAAGGGCAGGTGAATGGATTCCGGTCTCCTCTGGACTGACTTGGGGCCTCTGTATATCAAAAGAAGGCAGCCCCTTCCCAGGCCAGTGCCCTGGACAGCAACTGGGCCCTTAAGGCACTCACAGTGAGGGTGGCTGCCATGCCTGGAACCCTCTGCCACCAGGGCTGGTGCAGTCAGCGTGGTGTAGCTAATGTTCTGTTCTGTCGTTAATATATTATATAAATAATACATGTTTACTGTAGAAAACTCAGAAGACAAGCCAAAGGGGGAAGACTCACATGTAATCCCACTCTCAAGAGACAACATGGTGTTGTCTGTCTAAACTTTATTTTGGAACAGTTTTAGATTGCTGAAAAACTGCCAAGAGTCCAGAAAACTCCCATATACCTCAAACCCACCAGGTTTCCCCCATTATTAATATTTTATGTTAGCATGGAACATTTATTACAATTGACAAACCAGACTGAGATATTATTAACTATAAAGTCCATAGTCTGATTTCCTTAGTGTTTACACTTATTATATGGCGAGAACACTTAATATGGGTCCTACCCTTTGAACAGATTTGTAAATGGCCAACACTGACGGCGCTCTGCTGTACAGCACATCTCTAGGATGTCTTCGGCTGGCAGGACTCAAACTTTACACAGCGACTATCAGCAACACCGTTTCCCCTATTCCCCAACCCCTGACAACCACCCTTCTACTCTCTGCTTCTGTTGAGTTTGACTATTTCAGATTCCTCCTATAGGTGGAATCATGCGGTACTTGTCCTTCTATCCCTGGTTTATTTCACTTAGCATTATTTCCTCCGAGTTTATTCATGTTGTCACACATTGCAGGATTTTCTTTTTTTCTTCTTCTTCTTCTTTTAGAGATGAGGTCTCACTGTGTTGCCCAGGCTGAAGTGCAGTGGCACCATCATGGCTCACTGCAGCCTCAACCTCCCGGGCTCAAGCGATCCTCCCACCTCAGCCTCCCAAATAGCTGGGACTACAGGTAGGCAACACCATGTCTAGCTCCTTTTTGTTATTTTATTTTATTTTTTTGTAGAGATGGGGTCTCTCTATATTGCCCAGGCTGGTCTCAAACTCCTGGGCTCAAGCCATCCTCCCACCTTGGCCTCTCAAAGTGTTGGGATTACTGGTGTGAACCACCACACCCGGCCAGGATTTTCTCCTTTTTAAAACCTGGATAATACTGGTAGCTACACACAACAAAATTTTAGCCAGATTTCCTTAGTTTTTCCCCTAATGTCCATTTTCTGTTCCAGGATCCCAACCAGGACCTACACTCCACTGAGCTGTCATGTCTCTTTAGACCCTTCTTGGCTGTGACAGTTCAAACTTTTTAAAAAGACTTACAGAACATAACTTTTAACAAAAATAGAACCATACATACACTCTATTTTAGAACCTCTTTTTTCTTTTTTTTTTTTTACTTAACAATGTATCCTGGGTGTCCTTCTATGTTGCTAAATTTACTCCTATTCTAAAGTTTATTTTAGTAGGTGATCTTATCTCCTTTGGAACACACTGCATGATGTGAGATTCTTTTTAATTCAAATTCTACCACATTGTCATTTGAGTTTTAAATTAGAGAAAAAATACACATCCACTCTTGTGGACGCGCAGGCTCTCCCAGGACGCACGAGTAAAACATAGCTGCCTCTGGCCGGCACAGGGGCAAGAGGGAGCTGCTTTTCACTATATTTCCTTCTGTGCTTTTCCATTTTAAATATTTTTTTTTTTTTTTTTGAGGCAGAGTGTCACTCTGTCACCCAGGCTGGAGTGCAGTGGTATGATCTTGGCTCACTGCAACCTCTGCCTCCCAGGTTCATGCCATTCTCCTGCCTCAGCCTCTGGAGTAGCTGGGACTACAGGCACCCACCACCATGCCCAGCTAATTTTTTGTATTTTTAGTAGAAACGGGGTTTCACCATGTTAGCCAGGATGGTCTTGATCTCCTGACCTTGTGATCTGCCCGCCTCTGCCTCCCAAAGTGCTGGGATTACAGGCGTGAGCCACAGCGCCTGGCCTTTTTTTTGTATTTTTTAGTAGAGACAGGGTTTCACCATGTTAACCAGGATCGTCTGGATCTCCTGACCTCGTGATCCGCCTGCCCCTTGGCCTCCCAAAGTTCTGGGATGACAGGTGTGAGCCACCATGCCTGGCCTAAATACTTGAATTTTAAAAATTAAGACTTTTTAAAAATAGAGACAGAGTCTCGCTAAGTTGCCCAGGCTGGCCTCAAATTCCTGGCTTCCTCCCGCCTCAGCCTCCCAAAGTGTTGGGATTACAGGCATGAGCCACCAAGCCTCGTCAAGACTTTTTTTTTTTTTTTTTGAGATGGAGTTTCGCTCTTCTTGCCCAGGCTGGGATGTGATGGCACGATCTCAGCTCAGTGCAACCTCTGTCTCCCTGGTTCAAGTGATTTTCCTGCCTCAGCATCCCGAGTAGCTGGGACTACAGACATGTGCCACCACGCCTGGCTAATTTTCATATTTTTAGTAGAGACAGGGTTTCACCATGTTGGCCAGGTTGGTCTTGAACTCCAGCCATCACATGATCTGCCCGTCTTGGCCTCCCAAAGTGCTGAGATTACAGGCGTGAGCCACCACACCCGGCAAGACATTTTTTAAAAGCCCATAGCTCATAGTTTGCCTCATGGGTCCGTTTCCCTTTCTGGGAGGAAATACTCTTTCTGACTTTCCCTATAGGTCTGTAGCACCCATAGGATGCTCCATGACAGGGCTGCTGGGCTAGCATCCTGGAGCTGAGGAGGGCTCAGGATGGCAGTGCTGGGCTTGGAGGGGAAGAGGCAAGGGGGTGGGGTATTGGGTGTCAGGGCCAAGGGTAAAGGAAAAAGGGGCAGGCAGGGAGTCTGGAGACCTGGTGCCTCAGGCAGTTCCCTTCTTCCTGGACGTGATGGGGTTGGGCTTATCCAGAGGTCTCTGACACCTTTGTCAGCTCTCAGACTCTGAGGACAGCATCTGGTCTCCTGCAGTGGGAGGCCCAGGATGTGGGACAGATCTGGAAGCTCAGCATAGAATGAGCAGGGAAGTGGTAGGGGCAGGGAGGCTGAACAGTGAGGCCAGTGTGGATGAGGACAGAACACTGGGGTGGGGGTTGGAGGCTGGGCTATGAGCATCCAGGAGTGCAGGGGTAGTGCAGTGACAGAGAGGACCCTGAAGAAGTCCGCTGTGAGAGAGAAGAGGGAGGAGGACTTGGACCAACCCCAGCCTGGGGGCCCAGGACAAGATTCAGGGAGATATTGAAGGTTTGCTGGGCCCACAGACCAGAGGCTGCCCACTCAGCACTGTGGGGGGATGGGCAGAGAACGCAGGAATCCAGGCCCAGAGGAGGGACTCCAAACCACAAGGACCAAGGCCAAGAACAGGCCTCCAGCCCTGGGCAGGGTGCCAGAACCATACATGGGTAAGTCCACAATGAATTCAATGCTAGAAACTGGCTCTTTTGGAGCAGTTGTACCTGAGGGAGGTTTTGCACTGTAAACACTCAATGTCAGCTGGGTGTGGTGGCTCTTGCCTGTAATCCCAATACTTTGGGAGGGCAAGGTGGGAGAACTGCTTGAGCCCAGGAGTTTGCGATCAGCCTGGATGACATGGTGAGACCTCGTCTCTATTAACAATGCAAAAAATAATAATAATAATAAAATAAAATAAATAGCCTAGCTGGGACACTTGGGAAGCTGAGGTGGGAGGATCATTTGAACTTGGGAGGTTGAGGCTGCAGTGAACTGTGATCACACCACTGCACTCCAGCCTGGGTGACAGAGTGAGACCCTGTCTCTAAAAAAACCCCAGTGTCATGAGGAACTCTGAAAGGGTCCAGTGGGGTAAGGCTGGCAGCCGCCAGGAGGGAAAGAGCCCTTTAATGCCTCCTGCCTCTGGGCCTTTGAACATGCTGTTCCCCTTTCTTGGACCACCTTCCCCACACACCTGGCAAAGTTTCAGCTTAGATGCCATCTCCTCCAGGAAGCCTTCCCTCACTTTCAAAGGAAGATTGTGGGGCTCATGAAACTCCCAGAACCTCCTCCCTCATAATGCTGCCACCATATGCTATAATTGCCCCGGAAGAACCTATGAGCTGTGAAGGAGGGACCCTGTCCTCCCTATGTGTCCCCAGCCCCAGCAGAATGCCTGGGTATAGCAGGCGCCCTGTTAATTTCTGCTGGATGGACATTGAAGAGCTGGGAAAACACAGGGATCCAAGTCAAACTCAAGGAAGCCAGGCAATTTTGTGCCAGGGATCCAAACAGGAACCTCTGGTAATTGCATACAGCAGTTTGGCTGGGATTAAGTGGCTTGAACCCTCTTGTTAGGCTAATAACAGAAGATATCAAAATCCTGTAAAGAATACAGCAACACTCAAGAGGAGTCCAAATTTGATCCAAAAAATCATTCCAGATTTTTTTTTTTTTTTTTTTTTTTTTTTTTTAGTGTTCTTGGCTGAGCTCCAGGAAGGGCTCTAGTTCCAGGACACACATCACTGGGACTTAGCTTTTCTCTGACTCCGTCTCCCTCAGGCCTGGCCCGCTTGCATCAGGAGAACAAGGATGTTTGCTGCCAAGTCAAGGTTTCCATCCATCCTTCCTTTCTCCCTTTCTTTCTGAGATAGGGTCTTGCTCTGTCACCAGGCTGGAGTGCAGTGGCACGATCTCAGCTCACTGCAACCTCCGCCTCCCTGGTTCAAGCAATTCTCTTGCCTCAGCCTCCCGAGTAGCTGGGACTACAGGCACATGCCACCACACCCAGCTAACTTTTGTATTTTTAGTAGAGACGGGGTTTCACCATGTTGGCCAGGATGGTCTCCATCTCTTGACCTTGTGATCCACCCGCCTCGGCCTCCCAAAGTGCTGGGATTACAGGCGTAAGCCACCGCGCCTGGCTCTCTCTCTCTCTTTTTTTTTTAGATGGAGTCTTGATCTGTCACCCAGGCTGGAGTACAGTGGCGTGATCTTGGCTCACTGCAACCTTCGCCTCCTGGGTTCACGCCATTCTCCTGCCTCAGCCTCACGAGTAGCTGGGACTACAGGCGCCCACCACCATGCCTGGCTAATTTGTTTTTATTTTTAGTAGAGACGGGGTTTCACCATGTGAGTCAGGATGGTCTCGATCTCCTGACCTCGTGATCTGCCTGCCTTGGCCTCCCAAAGTGCTGGGATTACAGGCATGCACCACCACGCCTGGCCGCTCTCTCTTTTTTTAAGAGATGGGGTCTTGATCTGTCACCTAGTGCAGTGATGTCCTCATAGCTCACTGCAGCCTTGAATTCCTGGGCTCAAGCGATCCTCCTGCCTCAGCCTCCTGAGTAGCTGGGACTACAGGTGCATGCCACCACACCCAGTTAACACTGTATAATTTCAATTTCCTTTTTTTAGGAACTTTAGTTTATCTGACTGACCAACATGTCTTTCATATATTTTAAGTAATTCCCAGAATTTTAACAAATTAAAATTTTAGCCATTCCTTGAAAAGGCCAAATCATCTTAAACATTAAAAATAAGATTCCTAACATGTACAATTTCCTCAATATAAAAAATTAACAAGCTGGGCATAGTGGTGCTCGCCTATAGTACCAGCTTTCAGGAGGCCTGAGGCAAAAGGACTGCTTGAGCCCTGGAGTTTGAGGCTGTGGTGAGCCATGATCACACCTGTGAATAGCCACTGTACTCCAGCCTGAGCAACACAGCAAGACCTTGTCTCTTAAAAAGATTAATTGTGGCCAGGAGTGGTGGCTCACGCCTGTATTCCCAGCACTTTGGGAGGCCAAGGTGGGGAGATCACGAGGTCAGGAGATTGAGACCATCCTGGCTAACACGGCAAAACTCCATCTCTACTAAAAAAAAAAAATACAAAAAATTAGCCAGGCGTGGTGGTGGGCGCCTGTAGTCCCAGCTACTTGGGAGGCTGAGGCAGGAGAATGGCGTGAACCCAGGAGGTGGAGCTTGCAGTGAGCTGAGATCACGCCACTGCACTCTAGCCTGGGCGACAGAGTGAGACTCTGTCTCAAAAAAAAAAAAAAAAAAAAAAGATTCATTGTATGGCAACCCACAGAGTGGGAGAAAACATTTGCAAATATCATATAAGATATTTTATTCAGAATATATAGAGAACTCCTAAACCCTAACAAAAAGCCCAAAAATGGACAGAAGACATGTACAGACATTTCTTCAGAGAAATTACAAAGAATTCAATAAGTACCGCATAAAAAAATGCTCAACATCGGTAATCATTAGGAGAATGCAACTCAAAACCACAATGTGATACCATTTCATACCCATTAGGATGACCATTACCGAAAAAAAGAAAGGAAAAAAACCATATTGGCAAGGATTTGGAGAAATCGGGATTCTGAGGCATTGTTGGGCGGCAAAGTAAAATGGTGCAGCTGCTGCAGAACACAGTATGGCGGTTCCTCAGAATATTAAACACAGAATTAGCTGATCCAGCAAGTCCACTTCTGGGTATAGATACAAAAGACCTGAGAGCAGAGTCTTTTTTTTTTGAGATGGAGCCCAGGCTGGAAGTGCAGTGGCGCCATCTGAGCTCACTGCAACCTCTCCTCCCAGGTTCAAGATTCTCGTGCCTCAGCCTCCCGAGTAGCTGGGATTACAGGCGTGAGCCATCACGCCCAGCTGATTTTTGTATTTTTAGTAGAGACAGGGTTTTACCATGTTGGCCAGGCTGGCCTTGAGCTCCTGACCTCAGGTGATCCACCTGCCTCGGCCTCCCAAAGTGCTAGGATTACAGGCATGAGCCACCGCACCCAGCCCGTATTTAATTCTAAATCTTTTTGGGGTTAAAAAAATGCTTTTTCACTAAGGAAACTGTTACTTCATCCCAATGATCCTGGGGTTACCTTCCCAAGAAAATTCTGAAAGATACCTTCCCTTCCTGGTGACATTGTGTGACAACCTGTGATACAGTTAGGACATGAGGCCTAGAGATGCAGACAGATAGGATAGTGTTTCATAGGATCTTGACTGACAGGCTGAGCATCTTTGAACAGTCATGGTATCATGGACTCCAAAACTTCAAGAATGGGTTGAGCTGACCAAGGCCCTGCCCAGGTCTAAATTTTTTTTTTTTTTTTTTTTTTTGAGACAGAGTCTTTCTCTGTTGCCCAGGCTGGGGTGCAGTGGCACAATCTCGGCTCACTGCAACCTCCACCTCCTGGCTTCAAGCAATTCTCCTTCAGCCTCCAGAGTAGCTGGGATTACAGGTGCCTGCCACCACACCTGGCTAATTTTTGTATTTCTAGTAGAGACGGGGTTTCACCATCTTGGCCAGGCTGGTCTTGAACTCTTGACCTCGAGATACACCTGCCTGGTCCTCCCAAAGTGCTGGGATTACAGGTGTGAGCCACCCCACCTGGCCTGGGTCTAAATCTCATCTCCATCCTTCCTCTCAAAGACTGCCACATCATTGGACTGGATGGTGCATTTCTTTGGTTTTTAAATTGCATGTATGTGTTCCTGCCTAGCTCTAAAGATGGACAGATTTGCTGTGACTGCAATATTTTTGCATTTAGTAAGGTTACAACTTATAAGTACATCTCAGTGACCTAAAATTGGGTTCTGAATCTCTCCAACTTTATCTGACTCTAAGTTACATTGTGCAAGAAGGCGTTCTTATGACACACATCCCTCTCTGGCTGGCGTTTTGCAAACATACCTTCAATCTTAGTCTTGAAGTGAGGGTATCTATTGAGAATCTCCACCTGCTTCTTCCAGTTGAATTCATTCCGCCAGTAGGAGATGACTTTCTTCAGGTAGTTGGAGTTGAAGCCATAGTGGAAGCAGCTGTCCTCCAAAGGTGGGGTGAAACGGAACTTATCGATCCTCTGGTGTAAGTCCTAGAGCAAAATGCAGGACCCCAAGTTGAGAGGGATGGGTAGGGCAGGGCACAAGAGCAAAGTTTGTTTCCAGAAAACACAGCAAACCCTGCAGCCACAAGACACTGCACTCTGGTAGTGGCAAAGCAGTTTCCCACCTCACTGTCTGCTCCCAAAGTGGATGTGTCCTTCCCTTCTTCCTTCTTCACTGTAGACTTCGCATTTCTTTTTCTTTTTTTTTTTTTTTTTGACAGGGTCTCACTCTGTTGCCCAGGCTGGATCAGTGGTGTGATCTCGGCCCACTGCAACCCCCACCTCCCAGGTTCAAGCGAGTCGTGCCTCAGCTCCCAGAGTAGCTGGGATTACAGGTGTGAGCCACCATGTCCAGCTAATTTTTGCATTTTTAGTAGAGATGGGGTTTTGCCATGTTGGCCAGGCTGGTCTTGAACTCCTGGCTTCAAGTGATCTGTCTGCCTTGGCCTCCGAAAACAGTGGGATTACAGGTGTAAGCCACTGCGCCCAGCCCATCTTTTACTCTTTAAGTGTATAAACAACACACATCTTTAATTTACCCAGGTTTCCCTATAGCGGGAGTCGGCAAACTTTTTCTGTAGAGGGCCAGATAGTAATATTCTAGGCTTTGCAGGCTGCAGTGACTCCACTCTGTCTTCCTAGTGTGAAGGCAGCCACAGCCAATGCACAGATGAATGGGGGTGGCTGTGTTCCAATAAAACTTTATTTATGGACAGCCATAGCCAATGCACAGATGAATGGGGGTGGCTGTGTTCCAATAAAACTTTATTTATGGACACTGAAATCTGACTGCTATATAATTTTCACATGTCACAAACTATTATTCTCTTTTGATTTTTTTCCCCCTAACTATTTAAAGAGGTAAACACTATTCTTGGCATAGGGGTCATGCTAAAACAGGTAGCAGGCTACATTTGGTCTATGGGCCATGGTTTCCTGACCCCTGATATACAACACTGAATGATACATTATAACTCAGTTGGGATAAAAATTACAGGCCAGGCCCAGCACAGTGGTTCACGCCTGTAATCTCAGTGCTTTGGGAGGCTGAGGTGGGTGGATCACCTGAGGTCAGGAGTTCAAGACCAGCCTGGCCAACATGGCGAAACCCCATCTCTACTAAAAATACAAAAATTAGCTGGGCATGGTGGAAGGCGCCTATAACCCCAGCTACTCGGGAGGCTGAGGCAGGAGAATCGCTTGAACCCGGGAGGTAGAGGTTGCAGTGAGCCAAGATCACACCACTGTACTCCAGCCTGGTGACAGAGCCAGACCCTGTCTCCAAAAAATAAAAAATTTACAGACCAGGAGAGAGGGTGCAAGCCTCATGGGCATGTATTAGGCCAAAAGGCCAGCCCCAGTGGGAGGAAGTTCATGTCAGCTTAGGGAGCCTCTCAAGTGTCACTATTCTCAGGCTTCTTCTCAAGTGTTTCAGTCACCCCCGAACAGATTTTGGAAATCTCAGACTCCCTTAGGAGTCTAATTCCGTAAAGGAGTTTTCCTCAGGACTCAGCTTTGGCCCTAAATAGCAAGGCTGCAGCAAGCAAGTCCTATCCAGGGAGCCTCAGCCTGATTGTTCTTGGGTTTAGCCCAGCTTCTGCTTTTAAATCCCTTCTTCCTTGGAACTCTCATGACTTTTTATCCATGCTTTTTGTGACATTTATCCTTATCCATCTTTTTTTTTTTGAGACGGCGTTTCACTCTTGTTGCCCAGGCTGAAGTGCAGTGGTGCGATCTTGGCTCACTGCAGCCTCTGCCTTCTGGGTTCAAGGGATTCTCCTGCCTCAGCTTCCCGAGTAGCTGGGATTATTATAGGTGCCCACCACCATGCCCGGCTAATTTTTTGTATTTTTAGTAGAGACGGAGTTTCACCATGTTGGCCAGGCTGGTCTTGAACTCCTGACCTCAGGTGATCCACCCACCTCGGCCTTCTAAAGTATTGGGATTACGGGTGTGAGCCACCGCACCCAGCCGATCCTTATTTATCTTTTAGTCTATTTTTCTTTGTGCACATTCCTTTTCTCATTCACTGGACTGTATGCTGTTGGACGGAAGGGGCTCTCTCTTCTCCCAGGCACTCACTGGGCCTGCACACAGTAGGTGCTCAAAACCCACAGAATGAAAGAAAGGATAGGCAGGGCCATGCCAGGCCTGCCTACCGTCCTGTCCCCAACTTGAGCCTTGCTCCTCCCTGAGGTTGCATTCTCAGGTCACCCCACTTGCCCAGTAACCTCCTTCCTGACTCTATCCCTGTGCAGAGGAGGGGCAGCGGCTTCAGGGTTAGACCTGACTTCAAATCTTTCCGCTTGTTAGCTAGGCCGCCTTGAACAAGTTGCTTTATGACCCTGAGCTTCAGCTTCTGCATCTGCAGGATGGGAACAACAGTCCTCACCCCGCGGGATCACCACAGGGATTGAATGTGACCAGGAATGGCTGATACACAGCGGTTGCCTAAGCAGCAGCATTCCTGCCTTCTCAGTGCTTCCTGGGTCTCTGATGGTGGAAACCTGCTCACTTTCTCCCACAACCTCACTCCCAAGGCTTCAGGCAGGGCATAGAGGAGGTGATGACAGCTGCTTTCTGTGACCTTTGATGCAGGCAACTGAGTCTGCTGGCACCCCATCTCCTGCCTGAGCACTGCTGGGCCTCGGATAGGGAAAGGAGAAGAGACAAAGTGGGAGGGCTTGGTATCCCTCTCCAAAGCAACCTGCACCTGCCCAGCAGGGGAAAAGCAGACTGAAACACACTCCCAAGTAGGACGGACCATTCCCAAGCCCCCATCCCCTCCCGCATCTGGCCTAAGACTCAACCCGTCTCCGAGACACCACCCTCTCCACTGCCCAGTCCGGCCTGGCCCAAGGTGCCTTACGTGGATCTCCTCATCTGACGTTTCCACCTTGAAAGGGTGGATGCTCTCGTCTTCCCTGCCTGTGGGCCTCGTGCCTGGGCCCCACCACCCATCTTCAAGTGGCAAAGTTTCCTCTTTGTCCCGGGAGATGAACCAGTAGATGGCAAAGCCCAGCACTGAAGTCAGGAGGATTTCTAGCCACATGGCTCCTGCAAAATGGGGGGATGTCATCAGTAACGGAGCCCGCCCAGCCCAGCCCTGACAGCTCAGAGACTCTGATTCGCAGCAGGCTCTTTCCTGCTGCACTCCAACCCCGTCCCTGATTTTATTTACATTTGACCGTATATATATTATGTGTATAATAATATATTATATATTATATGTATAACATATAATACATATAATATATGTGATATAATATATAATATATATGTGATATAACATATACATGTTTTATTATATATTATATGTTATATTATTATATGTTATATTATAATATATATGTTATATTATATATTATAAATTGTTATATATAATATATATTATATATTATAATATATACACACTATATACCTACTATATATAGTATATGTAACATATATATGAGATATAGAAAAATGGAAAAACAACAGACAATGAGACAAAATCACCCACAATCCTACTAAGCTTTGAAAATTGTTCATCATCCTGGGAAAAGAGGAACCTAGATTGGCTTCTGCACAGTCCTGGGTAGGGGGTTTTGGGAGCTGCATTTCTGAGGCCTCATTTTTTTTTTTTTTTTTTTTTTGAGATAGAGTCTCACTCTGTTGCCCAGGATGGAGTGCAGTTGCACAATCTCGGCTCACTGCAACCTCTGCGTCCCGGGTTCAAGCAATTCTCCTGCCTCAGCCTCCCGAGTAGCTGGGACTAGAGGCATGTGCCACCATGCCCAGCTAATTTTTGTATTTTTAGTAGAGATGGGGTTTCACTGGCCAGGATGGTCTCGATCTCTTGACCTTGTAATTCGCCCACCTTGGCCTCCCAAAGTGCTGGGATTACAGGCATGAGCCACTGTGCCTGGCGGCCTCATGTCTGAGAAGGCTTCTGTCCACGCCCTCTGGGCTCCCTCCCCCAGGGGAGAGGAGCACCTTTCCTGAGTGGTGGCCCACAGCCCCTGCTCTGTCCCTCTTGTAGAGGGGCTCATCCTCAGGGCAGACGGGGGTAATGGGGAGGCCCAAGTGCTGGGAGAGTAAGTTCAATTTAGGGTTGGGGGACACTGCTAGGAAGCCCAGCCATGGCCACACATCTTAGCTGTGTGTGTAAGAGCTTTACTGAAACATAATTCATATACCATACAATTTGCCCATTTAAAGTGAACACTCCAATGGTTTTGAGGATATTCAGGCATGTGCAACCATACCCACAGTCAACTGTAGAACATTTTCATCAGCACAGAGAAATTCCATACCCTTCAGCTGTCGCTCCTCTACTGCCCCCCCACATTAGGTCCTAAGCAGACTCTAATCTACTTTCTGTGTCCATAGAGTTGCCTATTACATTTCACATCAACTCAGTTGTGTTTTAATCCCCATTTGTCTGACTCCTGTGTCTTTTTTGCTCAGAAAGGGAAGAAACCTTAGTCTCAGCAAAGCACGATCAGGCAGATACCAGCCCAGCATTGTTACCTAGCTCCTCATCTTCCTCATTCCTAGGCAAGTAACCCACAGACTGTTCTTGTTCAGAGTAACCTGCATGAATATGCAGGCCGTCCTTATGCCTGAGTCAGAGGAGGTTCTCTGGACGCAGTGCAGTTAGGACCCAGGCGGAGGAGAAAGCATTGAGTTTTGACAAGGTCCCTGCAGACCACCCCCCGGCAGCGCCCCTGACTCTGTCTTGGAAACCCAAGGCAGAAGGTGGTCCCTGCTGGGAACCCCACCACTTGTATGCTCCATTGGCTGCTACATGTCAGATGTCTGGGACTCTGCTGGGGGGTTGCAGAGGCCCTGGAGTTTGCTCCAGTCAAGAGCTGCCCCATTAAACCTAGAATTGGGCCACTGGGGGTCGTTCTAAGAAATACTTGTCCACAGTGGTCCAGAGACAGAGCTCCAAACAAATCCACCCAGGGCGATGGCTCTCATCTTATTCCTGCAGTTCTGTAGGAAATCTAATCAGGAAAATCAGCTTGGCACCCCCCACCTCCCTATTTCTACTAGTGATCCCAGTGAACTCCCAGCTTCCCTCCCTCAGGCCCTAGAGTCATCCGATTCTTCCCCCACAGCCCATCACCAAGTCCTGATGCCATCAGATTCAGCCCCCTGCGTGCCTTGCCCCATCCCCTGGACCAGAGCCCTTATCACCCCACATGTGATTATCGAGACACCTTTCAAGAGAGGAAACCCACAACCCCATCTCTCATAGTCACCAGCACACTTCTTAGAACCCACTGCAGCCTTCTTCCTGGGAACCATGCCCAGGTGTCCACCCTTGAACTTTCAATACATCTCCCTCTCTGGATTGTGAAACTCTGAAGTGCCTCAAGGCCTCACTGATCAATGTTTACTCAGTCTACCATGTGCCAGGGTGCAGGCCTTCACTATCCCTGCCAGAGACATGTGGGACACTTTGATGCATGTTCCATCTCCAGCCACGCCAGGCCATTGCTTTGTTTAAATTATTATTTTATTTTTATTTTATTTTATTTTTGAGACAGAGTCTCAAAGAGTGCAGTGATGCAATCTCGGCTCACTGCAACTTCTGCCCCTGGGTTCAAGAGATTCTCGTGCTTCAGACTCCTGAGTAGCTGTGATTACAGGTGCATACACCACCTCCTGCTAATTTTTGTATTTTTAGTAGAGACAGAGTTTCACCATGTTGGCCAGGCTGGTCTCAAACTCCTGACCTCAAGTGATCTGCCCACCTCGGCTTCCCAAAGTGTTGGGATTACAGGCACGAGCTGCCATGCCTGGTCCTATGGCTTTCATCTTTCAATTCCAAGCAGCAGTAGTGCCTGGGCCCCAAAGACCCTATGTCAGCTGATCAGATGGGCAGCTGGGAGCACACTTCCACAATAAAAACAAGGCAGGGAACAGCTGGAAATGAGTTCCTCTTATTTTAAGGAATTCAGAAAAGAAAAGACATGCAGAAAGACGTTATGCCTTTACTTCCAGAAAGACGTTATGTCTCTGCCAGGAAATCCTGCCCTTTAAGAAGATGGAGAGGCCGGGCGCGGTGGCTCACGCCTGTAATCCCAGCACTTTGGGAGGCCGAGGCGGGCGGATCACAAGGTCAGGAGATCGAGACCACGGTGAAACCCCGTTTCTACTAAAAATACAAAAAATTAGCCGGGCGCGGTGGCGGGCGCCTGTAGTCCCAGCTACTCAGGAGGCTGAGGCAGGAGAATGGCGTGAACCCGGGAGGCGGAGCTTGCAGTGAGCCGAGATTGCGCCACTGCACTCCAGCCTGGGCGACAGAGCGAGACTCTGTCTCAAAAAAAAAAAAAAAAAAAAAAAAAAAGATGGAGAGGCCGGGCGCGGTGGCTCAAGCCTGTAATCCCAGCACTTTGGGAGGCCGAGACAGGCGGATCACGAGGTCAGGAGATCGAGACCATCCTGGCTAACACGGTGAAACCCTGTCTCTACTAAAAAATACAAAAAAAAACTAGCCGGGCGAGGTGGCAGGCGCCTGTAGTCCCAGCTACTCGGGAGGCTGAGGCAGGAGAATGGCGTAAACCCGGGAGGCGGAGCTTGCAGTGAGCTGAGATCCGGCCACTGTACTCCAGCCTGGGCGCACAGAGCGAGACTCCGTCTCAAAAAAAAAAAAAAAAAAGAAGATGGAGAAATGTCAGCTACAAGCTCCTGTGGTATTGAAAGCAGGACTAGGTGTTAGGGACTGGGAGACACATGGGAGCGTGTGGGAGGCAGCCAAAGGCAGAGAGCAGAGCTTCCCCCAGCAACAGGAGCAGCTGAAGACACTTCACCGGGCAGGCAGATCCCACCACAATAAACCATAGCTTGGGAAGGCAGAGTTGTGCCCGTCCTGGGTATTGCCTTGACCCCCAGTGTCCAGCACTGGTCATTGGCCCAGCACAGCAAGGCGCTCCACTAATATTTGTGCCAACTGCATATGCACTAGAAGCCAGTAAGACACATTTTGCATGATGTTGTCAAGGAGGCTGTGAGCAGAATGAACAGTAAAGAGGGATCACCCTCCCCAGTGAACCCTCCTTACCTGTACTTCAGCACAGGGAGGAGCACCGCTGTCGCTTCCCTCTAGGATATAAATGTGCAACTTTCCCCTTTCTGGGCAGAAAGATCCCAGTGCCTTCACCTGTCCACCAGGCTCCACGTTCTCACCCTCGATCACTCCTTGGGAAAGAGAGCTGTGGAGCTCTGCACCTGGCGCTGCTCTAGGCGCCTGTGAGAGAGGCAGGGCAGGCTGCAGGCACTGGCCCCCACTCCCCACGGCCTTTTGACAACTGCACAGTCCTGCCAACTCAGCCAGTCTCATGTGTGCACGGCGTGGTTATCTCCCCTGGACTTTGCACAGCAAACTGAACCACGTTGACCTGAGAGATACAGTGCTGAAATGATAAATGCTCGAGTCCCATCTAAAAGAAGGGAATCTGGGACAAGGGGCATTATGATGGCCCCCACCAGCACTACCAGGGGTATCACCCAGGAAAAGGAGAGCAAAGTGACAGATTCAAAGAGAAATTTAAAAACACACTCTCTTGCATTCTAATTAAGATAACAAGAATATTAGTACTTGGCTCAAGGATGGTGCCTTACAGCCACTGATCTCAGATTACAAATAGGCTCTACTGCAGTGTGTTACTTTGCCACCTAGTAACAGCCCTTTATTTAATAGCAGGTATTTAATGAATGAAAGAAAGGTGTTCTTGATTAGCCTGGTGTGACAGCAGGTGTTGACTGTGTGCGGATGGGTCTTCAACCCCACTGCCGCCTTGCGTTCCCCCATGAACAGTCCTTCTCCTTGTTGCAGGCAGTGTTCACTTTCACCAGCCCAACCCCAAGAAGCCCACCCTGGGAAGGACGAAGGGGGTCCCCATGACTCCACACCCCCCATCTGCTTTGTCGGAGAGCTAGCCAGGCCGAGTGGCGCCCTCTTGACTGAGCCTCAAACCTTTGCTTTCCTCTTCAAATAAAGCCGCAGCCCTGGCGAAGGAGCTTGGAGGCCTGATGGCAGCCTGCTGGGCGCTTGGCACTTCCTA